AGGGTTTAGGGTTTGGGGTTCCTAGGGTTTAGGGTTTGGGGTTTGGGGTTCCTAGGGTTTAGGGTTTGGGGTTTGGGGTTTTGTGTTTTAACTTTGGGCCTTTTGCGTTTCGGTTTTGCGGTTTTGGATGTCGCGTGTGTGCGTGTGTGTGTTTGTGTGTGTGTGTGTGTGTGTATGTGTGTGTGTGTGTGTGCGTCTTACCAGTAAAGCTTCGGGGTTCTTTGGTATCCATAGGAACCTAGGTAGGCCTTTGGAGTATGGCCTAGGAGGATCTGATTTAGGCGTCTTTGCCAGGTGGTGTACAGGGCCCAGGGAGAACAAGAACTCCGAGAGAGAGGATTACGGTAGGGATCCTAAAGCCAAGGACCTGCAAAGTCCAAGGATAGGGGTTTACGAATTATGGTTTAGGGTCTAGCTCCTAGGATTTAAGAATCACGCGTCTCCATCAACGCGTGAACAGCTTCAGGCTGTAGGACTTGCGGGGTACTGGTACGAGTGCGTGATTAAGCTTCGAAGCATGAGTATATACCTAAAAAGCCTCTAAAAACCCGAAACAATTCCAAATATCCCTTAATTACCTCGACCCTCCATCTACCCTCTATTAGACCCTAAATACCCTTAATTTGGGACCATATACCCCTACTCGAGGGTACTTGAAGGGTCCTGGTAAACTTTAAACCCCAATTCCTAAACCCCTAAACCATAACAAGCCCGAAAAAACTATAAACTCTCTACCCTCAACCCCAAGCCATTATAAGCCCGAAAACACCAAACTCTAACGCCCAACCCAGAGATTGCTTATTGAATTTTACGATGGTGGGGCTCTTGGTGTGAATAGGTTGTTGTCGAGGGCGGAAGGTGGATCCTCAAGCTTAAACCTTCGAACCATGAGCTTCCCGTATGTGTAGAGTTTAGGGCTTTAGGGTTTAGGGTTTTAGGGTTTAGGGGTTTGGGGGTTTAGGGTTTAGGGTTTTAGGGGTTTGAGGTTTAGGGTCCCAAAACCCGAAACAGTTCCGAATTTCCCTTAGTTCAAAAATTTAGACTAAAGCCTTTTTCCGAAAGTCCTGGAGAGGATCACTGCCCCCGGGCGTGGCAGGGGCTGTGGCTACATTGGCGGCCAACGCGGTGACCACGCCCCTGGACGTGGTCCGGACGCAGGTGATGTGTGAAGGCCGCCTTGTTGTGAGAAACTCTACAAACCCTAAACCCTAAACCCTAAACCCTAAACCCTAAACCCTAAACCCTAAACCCTGTGTGTAGCATCTCTAGAGTGTTGGGCTCTAGAGCGCCAGAAGCTGTTAATTCCGGATTCACGGTTTGGAGCCCTTACTTGGAGGATCATGGGACTTAGTAACTAAGGGTTTAGGGTTTAGGGTTTAGGGTTTTAGGCGTTTAGGGGTTTATGTTTAGGGTTTAGGGTTTAGGGTTTAGGGTTTATAGCTTACTTGGAGGATCATGGGACTTAGTAACTAGGGTTATAAAGAAGGTAACTATAATTATAGCCCCCAATTAGGACTTATAACCTTACTTACTAAGTCCCAAGATCCTCCAAGTAATCATCTAAACCCTGAACCCTAAACCCTAAACCCTAAACCCTAAACCCTAAACCCTAAACCCTAAACCCTAAACCTAAACCCCCTTTATAACGTTCCGAAGCCGGTTGTCTGTGCCGCCAGGGACCAGCAAGACGGCGTCCCCCAACGCCCTGGAGAAGTTGAAGGACGATGACGCGGGAAGCAAGTAGTGGGCGCTAGGATGCATGGGCTTTATAGTGGGTTTTATGGGGTTCGGTTTAGGGTTTAGGGCTTGGGGGGGTAGGGTTTAGGGTTTAGGGTTTAGGGTTTAGGGCTTGGGGGGCAGGGTTTAGGGTTTAGGGTTTAGGGCTTGGGGGTTGACAGGGTGTTTTGAAGGGTATGGGGTTTTGAAGGGTGTCAGAGGGGAGGAGCGCGCCACAGCGCCAACTGAAAAATAAAAATCGGCAACTGCAACACAAAACCAACGACTAGACAAGCAGAAATGCCGAGTGCCAAATAACAACATGAGTCCCTTAAATGAACCCTTACTAAACCCGTAACAGTAAACTCGTCGAAGCCTGATGGAACCCCAAACCCTGAACCCCATATGCATCCCTTACGGGACCTTACAGGCACCTGGAGGTTTAGACTTTGCCCTAGTCCTCCCCTTGGGTTGCCGAAATAGTTAGTTATTGTCATTGGGTTATGGGTAAGGTTAGTATAGGGTTTCAGGGACAGTGATTCTCCCCTAAGAACAAGGTAATTACCTGCATAGTAACTTTCTGCGTCATGGTAACGTTGATATCGGTTATTGAGGGACAGTGACTCACTGCAGAGGGCAACTGGGCTCCGAGGAGCATAACACACAACCCTTCAGGTGCAAATGCATTCAAAGGATCAGGGCATTTAGCATTTGCTAGGGTATAATGGAGGCATAGTTAGGTAGGTTGTCAACATAGCTTATGACATAGTTGCAATTTTGCAACCCGGACTTTCAGCATTACAGTTCAATCTTTTCTTGCTAAATCCCCTGATCCTCCACGTGCCCAGGAGGACCTGAGCATCATCCCCTTTAGGATCGAAAAGACCCCCTAATTATATAGTAACATAGAAGGCTGAGTAATTATTCAATACTATTCGTTGGGGCTCCTTGTCTGCTTCCCGTTGTCATCACAATGCAATTTACCCCAAACCCTGTTCAAATTATTCAGGTCCCCAATAAAGCCCTGACAGAACATCCAGCACCTATCCATTTATCGATCTATCTATCTATCTATCTATCTATCTATCTATCTATCTATCTGTGGATGTATGTATCTATCTATCTATCGATCGATCCAGCTATATAGCCTACCTATCTATGTATCTACCTACCTATCTATCTACCTAATTATCTTTCTATCAAGCTATCTATGTCACTCTCTATCTAGCTATGTAACCAACTAACTAACTAACTAACTAACTAACTAACTAACTAACTAACTAACTAACTAGCTAACTAGCTAACTAACTAACCAACAACCTACCTAGCTATCTATCTGTCGATCTATCTATCTATGTATCTATGTATCTATCTATCTATCGATCGATCTAGCTATCTATCTATCTATCTATCTGTCTATCTATCTACCTATCTATCTATGTATCTAGCTATCTATACGTACATACATACATACATACATGCATACATACATACATGCATTAATAAGTAAGTAAGTAAATAAATAAATAAATAAATATATATATATATATATATATATGTAATATACATATAGACCTAGACATATATAAAAAAACATATACACATGCATGCACCCCTAAGCCCTAGAAGGAACCTTTCAAGATGTTGTCCTTTCGGGATTCCGTGAGTACGCCTCAACCCTACACCCTAAACCCTAAACCCTAAACCCTAAGCCTGGAGGAGCTCCTCAGTTCGGGTGACTCCGAGCAGATCTGGTCAGGTGCGGCTCTGGGTTCGGGCTTTAGGGTTGTAGGGTTCAGGATTTATGATTTTGTTTTTAGTGGGTTTTTTGGGTTCAGGATTTTGGTTTTTAGTTGATTTTAGCGTGCAGGATTTAGGGTTTTACTTGAATTTAGGGTTTAGGATTTGGGATTTTAGGGTTTAGGGTTCAGGGTTCAGGGTTCAGGGTCTAATTAGGATTTAGGGTCCTGTTAGGGTTCAGGGTTTTATGGTTTTGAGGTTCAGGATTATGGGGTTTGGGTCTTCGGGTTTAGGATTTTAACAATGGTTGTCTTGTGATTAAGGGCTTTAGGCTTAGGGCTTTAGGGTTTTATGGTGGAGAGTTTTGAGGTTAAGGATTTTGTGTTTTCTTTTCAGGGCTAAGGGTTTTAGGGTTTGGGGTCTGGGGTCCTGCACCCTAGGCCCTAGACAACCTGCATTCTTATGGTTTTTCAGTATGGCCTCCTTATGTATATGTCCTTATAAAGCTAGATCTTGGGTTAATACAAGGTTTCAGAAATTGTACAGGGGGTGGTTTAGGGTCTTGACTTCAGGGGCTCAAGATCTGTATAGATTGGGTTTTTTAGTTTAGGGCTGGGGGCTTAAGTTTAGGATTGGGCTTGGAGTTTTTGGCATGGGGTTCTGCATCGGTTTTCAGAGGATTTCGAGAAGGCTTCAGAGGGTTTTGTTTTGGGGCATAGGTCTTTGCCTATGGAACGGGTGTTGGATTTGTGTCCTTGGTTTTGGGGCTAAGGGTTCTGGCAGATGTCCCGGGCTTTGGGTTCTTAGGGGCTGCCGTTTAACCTCTTAGAGCTTCGAATTTGGGAATTCAGGGTTGTGCGCATAGGTCCTTGAGTGCAGGTGTTCAATTCTAAGGCTGCTTCGGCCTCATATAGGGGCCTAAATTATTACCAACATTCTTTTGAGGGTTCCGTATTATTCATGAAAAGTATACATATAATATACTGGGCCCCAAAACCCTTTTCCAATTATTCAGCCCCCTATATTATATAAGGAAGGCAAGGCCTGTTCCTCAGAGCAGAACCCTCATAAGAGCCTTAAGCATCATCCCAACACCCAGAGCCAAGCCTTCTGGCACCCTCTTAAAGCAAACCATGTACGCCCTTGTAAATGCTGCTACAGTAACAGACCCATACAAAATGTGAGCTCCTATTGAAGAGCAATAAGACCCGGAGTCTCCAAAGATGAACCTCTGCAGCACCGTATGAAACCCTAAACCCAAAACCCCCTAAACCCTAAACCCTAAACCCTAAACCCTAAACCCTAAACCCTAAACCCCTAACCCTATAAATGGAACCCTCAGGAAAGCAAATCAGAGAGTTGGCTTACAAGAACTCTTTGAATCCACTGTAGCACTCTGAGACCGGTATTACGGTTTACGGTTTAGGGTTTAGGGTTTAGGGTGTACGGCCTTAATGATTAGACTGGGGTTTTGGCGGTTCCTTAGTATACTTATAGTATAGTATACCCCAAACCCTATTCCAATTATCAAGGCCCCTACAATATATCAACAACCAGTAAGAAATCTCTGGCCCTACAAAAGGATAATATAGGGGCTTAAATAATTACCTATACTATTTGTGGGGCTCCTTGCTAGAAATGTAGTATAATATACCGCCAAACGCCCTTTGCTAATTGTTAAGGCCCCTATATTAGCCACATAAACCACATAAACAAGCAATCTATAGTAGAAGCCCGCAAGTTGGAACATCACAATCCTCATGCCCTTAAGGTAAAGTGAAGTGAAACCTAGCACTAATCCTGCCAAACCCATGTTCCAACTTTCTGGGATTCGCCGTAAAACCCTAAACCCCTAAACCCTGAACCCTAAACCCCTAAACCCTAAACCCTAAACCCTAAACCCCTAAACCCTAAACCCTAAACCCCTAAACCCTAATTTAAAGAGTCCGGCGGATCCGAGCTTTGCAGGCTTCGGCTGGCGCCTGGGCCGGGGGATCGTGGCCGGTGCGATCCAGTTCACCGTCCTGGAGGGTGCCCTGTCAGGTTTCTTTAACCGGGGGTTTAGGGTAGGGTTTAGGGTTTAGGGTTTAGGGTTTAGGTTTTAGGGTTTAGGGTAGGGTTTAGGGTTTAGGGTTTCGGGTTTCAGGGTTTGGGTTTGGGGTTTAGGGATCTAGGGCTTTGGGGTTTGGGGTTTTAGGGATTTAGGGTTCAGGGTTTCTTTAATATAGGGGCCTAAAGAATTACCTATACTGTTTTGGGTGGTTCCTTTTGGTAATGATGGTAGAATGTACCCAAAAACCCTGTTTGAACTATTCAGGCCCGCGGCTTTGAGTTCAGTGGTTTGGGGTCCAGGGTTCAGAGCTTTGGGTTTTGGACTTTCGTGTTAAAGTTTACGGCTGTTGTTAGGTTTTGTACATGAAGGGTTGCTTCAGGCTTCTTTGCGGGTTCAGGGGTTGGGTTTTAGGATAATGAGTCTTCCGAGATTGCGGTGTGGCATTCGGCTTTGTCTAAACCGTGCGGTTAGGTTCTGCAAGTCCTGTAAGGTCTGTATAAAGGTGGCTTCAGGGATCTATGCTGGTTCAACCCCAAACCCTAAATATGTTTATTCCCTGTCCGCTTTCTGCACATCGGTCAGGTACGAAGGATGCTGTGGAGGGCCGGCGGTAGCGAACGCAGAAAAGGGCCGCTTGGAGAGACGCGTCCGAAGCTACCCTAAACCTCATAACTTATAGTAGAAGCCCAAAAGTTGGAAACCCAATAGCCTCAGTCCTTAGGAGTAGTGCATATGGCATCCCAGCACTATTCGTCCCCAATCCGGTTTCCAACTTTTTGGTTTTTTACCACAAGCCCTGTAGGCCCCAAATACCCTGAAGCCCTAAAGCTCTAAACTCCTTCTTAGGCATACCCATAGGCCCCACAGTAGTTCCTTTTCGGGATTCCCTAGTAGGATCCGAAACATAAGCCCTAAACCCTAAACCCTAAACCCTAAACCCTAAACCCTAAAACCTAAACCCTAAACCCGAAACCCTAAAACCGTAACCTAAACCCTAAACCCTAAACCCGAAACCCTAAACCCTAAACCCTAAAACCTAAACCCTAAACCCTAAACCCTAAACCCTAAACCCTAAAACCGTAACCTAAACCCTAAACCCTAAACCCTAAAACCCTAAACCGTGAATGGGGCCTATGGGTAGTACTGTTGGGAGTTCTCGAAGGCCGTAAGCTTTCAGGCCTCGAAGTTCTGGGCCTCTCCCGGGT